AGAGTGTGTGTGTGTGTGTGTGTGTGTGTGTGTGTGTGTGTGTGCGCACACACACCAGAAATGTATTTGTTTCTCTTATAATGAGATCAAAATGTGAAAAGACTTCAGGCTGCTGTTGAAGGACAGTTGCCCCTAATTCTACTAGAAGGTACAAAGTCAGTGTTCCTTTCCAAGTCTCTTATGTTCTCCAAGGAGACCCGTGCCGCATTTTGAATAGACATGATCACAACCAAATGGGCTTGGTTTGAATGTTCCCAATTAGAAGCATCTTAATAGCCTATTTCTTCCTACCGGTGAGGTGGAACCTGACCTAACTGCCCAGATTTTTATTTGTCAAACAGTGGAACTTAAATCCGCAGGTTACTTTTTTTTTTTTGCCCACAGCCTTCCTCATTCTAAAGGCCAGAGCAGCAAGCTTGTCTTGCTGATAGGTGTCATTGCATCAGCACATTCTTTCCAGCCGACGCTATCATGCTGGGTTACTCGCCCACCATGACAGGAGCTTGGTTACTATTTTTGGCACTATCTCATGAATGATGTAAGCCTCTTGGTATAGTGTGAATGTCCCCACAAAATCCATGTGTTGACATTTGGTTGTGATGGGATTAAGAGGGTGAAAACTTAATTCAGCTATGGTGTTGAAAGGTGGGGCCTTTGGGAAGAGATTAGGATTAAGGTTATTAGGGCAGGGCTCTATGATTGACTCCTGGTAGGTTTATAAAGAAACGGAATGAGACTAGAACAGAGACACGTGGGCATAGATGCATGTGCCCCTGCTGTCTGCTATGCTGTGATGCAGCCAGAAAACCCTCATCAGATGTGGCTGCTGGACCTTGGGCCTTGAAACCATGATCTGAACAAACCTCTGTTCTCACAGATCATCCAGTTTCAGCCACCTGCTGGACCTTTTGAGTCCTTCTATTAACCTAGTATGATATGTACTATGCCCATTTCAGAGATGGAGGATGAGGATGAGGCCTAGATGGGAAAACTACCATCAATATAGTCATCAAATCCTAGAGTCAGGATGTGATCTGAGTGTGACTGTGAAGCGTACTCTATTCTGTTTCCTATAGCCTTATCCACTGACTTCGAGAATTGATTAACCATCTTTAAGTGCCCAGCTACCTTTCCTTTTAAATGCATTTTTTTTCTGCTTAGCTTGCAAGGTTTTGTTGTTTATTTTTCAGGAAAACTATCTGAAAATGAAATTCCATATGTCTATTTAGAGTTCTGTTGGTATTTATTAAATGCTGTTTGAACTAATGGTATTTGGGGCAATGATTGTGCAAACTAGGGACTCTATTTTCTTGAGTCTTGAACATTAAAAACCTGGACCACTTTTTTTCCAATGGTCTAAGGGTACCAAATGTACCCTTAGATGGAAAATTCATATTCCATTTTTGTCTTATTTTAGAAAGTCAGCAAACATCTATTAAGTGTCCATTACTTAATAGCTACTAGACCCAGGATTTGGGAAAAGTCGTGGACAAAAACGTTTGACATGATTTTAAAAAGAAGAAAAGAAATCTAAACCACAATGTTCCCAAAGAAAAATGTAAATAATTGAGCAAGCCATTAGATGGCTCCTAGAGAATGTTGTTTGAACTGGGAGGGGGAAAAAAACACACATTATTAAAAGTATTTTTATTTCCATGATATTTAGAGTGAAAAGTTTAATTCAGAAGGCTGTTTATATAACTAATCATGCCTTTTGGTACAAGATAGACTAAGTACTCAGCTTGTTCCTCAGGCCACATTAAAATAAATAAAATAAAATAAATATTTTTAAAAAATAATAACAAAAATAAAAGCAGCAAAGGAGATCAGAAGGACCATCAGTGGACCACTATCTTAGTGTGCTGGACTGCTATAATAAAAGTACCAGACTGGATAGCTTAAACAGCATACATTTATTTCTCACGGTTCTGGAGGACAAAACATCCAAGATCAAGATGTTTATAGATTTGGTGTCTAGTTAGGGCCCACTTCCTGTTCCATAGATGACTTCTCACTGTGTCCCACTTGGAAAATGGAGTGAGGGAGTGCTCTGGGGCCTCTTTTATAAGGACACTAATCCCATTCATGAGGGCTCTGCTCTTGTGAACTAATCACCTCCCAAAGGGCCACCTCCTAATACCATCATTTGGTGGGGAGGATTAGATTTCAACATATGAATTGTACAAATGTTCAGTCCATAATAATCAGTAATTCCAGCTCCTGAAAGAGGATAACCAGGTAGAAATATACTGATAGATGGGACAAAGCAGAAGTAGCCACAAACGCCAAGGGTGGTGCAGAGATGGCAACCTGTTTGCCAAAGGAAGCAGAGCCAGGCTGTGCAAGACTGGAATGGGAAGGAAAAGGCAAAGGGCAGGGGCTGTCTGAAAGCTGGACTAAGGAGGAGCGTGGAGGGATGACAAAGAGCAGCTTGACTCTGGCTGGGCCCTGCCTGTGGACAACCAATAAGAGTACTTGGCTCAATAAAGTGGGAAGAACAGGGGTTTCACGTGACTGCCATTGCCCCAAAGTAAAGCCCTCTTCATTCGAGTATTTGGGGCCTTTATGGCCCTGCTCATCCTAAGGCAGTCGAAGTCTTGACCAGCTGTCTTTGTACATTAGTGTTTCTATAACACTAGAAAATACTTGAGACTAGGTGATTTGTAAAGAAAAGAGGTTTATTTGGCTCATTGTAGTTATAAAGTCCAAGAGCATGAGACTGGCATCTGGCTGGCTTCTGGCACGTCACACAGCAAGGCAAGAGAAGCAGTGGGAGGGAAACCTGACTGGCATTAAATTTATCAGTTGTGCTGTTATTCTAGAAGACCCTCCTCCTAAATTCTGAGAGAAAATTATTTCAGACCCATAATTCTGAACCTAGCCAGATCTTCAGTCAAGTGAATCTGAGGTGTGAGAATTGAGAAATGTATCTCCTAAGCACACCTTTCCAAGATAGATTATCTGACTGTCTTGATGGTGTGTAGAATATAGATATAAGAAATAGGGAATGGGGGCAGTAGATTGCATGCAGGTTAAGGTGACTGGATCCCATATGGCTGACTCCACAGTTTGAGTCCTGAACCCAGCAGAAAATCTCACCCAGCACGTCTGCGTGTGTGTCCAAAATCCCAAGAGTAGAGTGGAGGAGAAGGGATTGTGGTGTGGCTATCTCCCTCCCCCGAGGAGGGAATTTCTCACTTTTCTTCTC